TTGAACTTGGTTTCCTTAACATTCATTTCTAAACCCTGTTCATTACTTATTTTATTGGCTTTCTTGAATAACCTCTTCAGTCCATCTACATTGACAGGTAGTGATGCTGTTTTGGCTGCATATTACATTTTGATGGTAAACTCTTTAGTGACAATGGCACTGTCATTGAATCAGCAACTTACTTTAGTACAGATTGAAAAGCAGTGATGAGAGTATATGTTCTTAACATGTGCCTCTTCCTATCTCAGTGTCTTCTGTTACCTGATTTTCAGCTTTCACCAAATCTTTTTGCTGGCAGTTCAGTTTGCCAGTTACATAAATATCTATTGAATCAGACTGTTTACCAACACCTCCAGTATTTTCCTCAATTTGAAACAAGCCACAGCGATGATGGTACTTTGCTGTTGATTCAAACTTTGCGTATTATCAAACAAAGCCAAGCACGATTATATTTAACTTTTACCTTCGTGTTGTTTGATGCAATTTCTCCTGCAATTTAATCATATCTGTATCAACACATAAGTAAGCTATGTGAAGTTCAATACATCTTGCTCTTAAGTGGATCCAACTGCTTCTCTGAGATTGAAATACGCTGTAGTAGATTAGTGAAGGCAGTGGGAGGGAAGCTGACAGGATCTCTGTGCACTGCAGCAGGCCTCATACATACAGTAGTGCTCAGCTAGTCTCTCAGGCTGCCTAATCTATTGCTAACACCTCAGGCTGGTTTTAGAGTAGAGCTTGGGAAATTTATTTTGTTGGGATTCAACTCCCAGCCAGCCCTGTGGCATCCTGGCAATTATATTCCAAAAAGAAAACTTATTCTGTGCAATAGTTTACATAGTCTGGTTTACAAACTAAGTACAGCTGAAATTGTATAGGTCTTTATTCAGAAATGCCTCCCTTCCCATTTAGCTCAGTTGAAGCAGATGACAAAGCATGCAAAGATACGTACATTTCCTTACTTCTTAAAAACGGTTCTCTCACACCATTGCTCCCCATAACTGATACTTTATTATATGCAAAACAAGAGCCTATACAGGACCATATTCCTGTATTGTATATAGGAAGAATAAATCTCTCAACAACGCAAATTAAACAGATTCAGCTGCAGAATTTCATTTCCTTGGCTTTTCTTGATACACACTGCTTTTCTCACATATTTCTCTTTTCCCTTACATTAGACAGAAGGAGTATATACTTAATTAGATTTGTCAGTGAGCTATTTAGTTTTCTAAAATAAGATATTATTTATGTGGCTGCCTCTAAATTAGGAAGCATGGCAGGTGACTATTAGGATAGCAGAATTTACCCCTTTAAAGTTAAACAAGGAGACTGGAAGGAGTTCCACATGAGCAAAAGGCAACATGGATATACCCTACATTTTAATGTCAGTACAAGTACCTTATTATACCATTACATTAGAAATGTGTAGTACCCCCAAGGGGTAGCGCTTTTCTTATTAGAGAATGTCTTTCTCAGTGTTTGAGGGAGATAGTTCGTGTGCTAAATTGTTCACAGTCAAACTTATTATACAAAATGTGGTGCCCTCTGGGTATGATTGAAATTTATATGCAAGGAGCAATCAAGTATCAAGAGCAATGGATAAAACCTTAGGTAGGTGGCAGAAGATAGATAAGCATGCAGGAGTTTAAGTTGTAGTTTCTTAAGCTGCAGAAAGATTTATTTTATAGTATGTAGACAAAATTTCAAAAACAAAAAAACAAAAAAAAAAAAAAAAACACCAAACACAAAAACATAGTGTCACCTTGAAGGGTAACTTTTATATTCCAATGTGAACTTTACTGGGTAAATCCACTTTATCATACATATTAGAGTGGGATTTTATAATACACATAACAGCCAATTCTAGCTGTAGAATATTTAATGAGGGTTTATATTTTGACCCCTAAATCAGTAGGTACTAAGTATCCTCCAATGCAAGCACACACACAATCATGCATAAATGAATGAATTAATGGGAAGCCTGTAGATGTAATCGTAGGGGCCCTCCTTGGCTTGCAAGAGAAGGGAACCAAATTAAACAAATATAGAATTAGGAAACCTATATTAAATGAGGAGACATAGAAACATAATCTTCTATACAAAAATAATAGAAATGAACAGAGCAATTAAGGAAACATGACTGATCCACTTACATAGACATGAATGAGATTGTGAAATTACATGATCTCTGGGATGGCATTTGGTTCTCCTCCTCTGTCCCAACCCTGGAAGGAGATACCTGACCTCAGATGCCATCACCTTGGCATTTCCCTTTCCACTACAAAAACTCCCAAGGATCCCATTAGCTCCTTTAACAAAGTAGACACCAAAGCATTCATAACAGGTGGCCAGTAAGTAGTCAGCAAGGTGCCAAATTAATGCCAGAAATATAACTGAAAAAGTGGAAGAACTATTCGCTGCATAATAGATATATGATTCACTGTCTTGAAATGAAATATCCTTTGTATAAATTTTCTCCAAAAATCTATTGCTGATTTGTACCTGCATAGGGGAAACCACATAGTCATGGCAGCAAATTTTAATTCATTAATGCGGTGCTAGTTGCATTCCTCAGCCTGTACGTGATTGTGCAATTAGGCGTATTACAATTCACCATGTGATACTGAGCAAGGAGAAAACCCAGAAGCGCACTCATTGGCTGGTGCTGTTGAAGGAGAGATGGTATGAATGCGAACAGATTGAAAGTTTGAATGAAGTGCACAAAGAAATTAAAACTGACAAAGTTATGATTCCAGTAGATACACAGGTGGAATATTTATATTTGGGAACAAAAGCACATGCCTTGTACAAAATATACCCAGACTTGTATTTGATCCAGATGGAAAACGAAAAACAGAAATGGGTTCACAGGAACCAAATTAAGGTTTGGAATCCAGTGCTAGCATAACTGATTGATTTCTTTTAGGAAAAGGAACGCTGGACAAGGCCACCAACATTAAGATATATAAATCAAATAAATCAAATAACTAAATATAAATATAAAGATATTTTCATTTGTGTCGATTGATTGAGTTATGTGTGTTTTTGTCTCGTGTTGTGCCAGCTCTCTTATAGGAAATTTTGGATATTTTGACACCCATCACATCTACATGCCCTGGATATTCATTGAGACAAAATTGTTTTCCTCTATTCACTTTTTAGTGGGACTCATTATAGTAGGCTTGTGGTTGAATCCCATCTTAAGTACTCCAAAAGAGAAGGCTTGAAGTGTCTTATTTGTACTGAAGTTTGTAAGAACAGATCTAATAACTAGGATACTCAAAATGAAAGGTATAGGAATAATCTGGACCGTAGTCTTTCTGCTGATAGCAGTGAGCATATCCCAAGCCCTGCACCTGATCTACAATTGTAGATGCAGGGTAGTCATGCTGCAAGGAAAGTTGTTGCCTGCTGTCCATCAGAACAACATAGCACAGGTTGTTTGGAACATGAGAAAATTTCTGCTTGGAGAGGGGAGGAGTGGATATAGGACAAATGCTGATAAGGATATGTGGAAATCAGGAATGAGGAAGGTTAAAAATGAATACTCATATGGTACAAATCAGACACACAAATATTGGGGAAGGTCAACCATATGTTAATGGATGTCAGTCAAAACCACACTAAGATGGGATCGGTTGATTCCTACAAACATATCAATTGCTCTTTCACTGTCATGATGAACTCTGGTGGCAGTCACAGGCTGTTTCCAGTAAGTTGGTTCTAAGAGATAAAGGGGATGTGTTGTTTCAATAATTCTGATAAATCAAAGGACATATTAGTCAATTACAGGAATTGGCTCATAACATCACCAGGGATACAGGACTGGACTGGTTGACCAATTCGTTTCCAGCCCTTGGTTGGGTAAAGAGTCTGTGGCTGTTTTGTTTTTAATAATAGGAGTGATGGACTGTTTCTGCTTACAATGTGTACCAGTATGTATGGAGAACTGCAGATCTCTGGGAAGGACTATGATCTTGAAAAGAGCTAAAGCCCATCGATCCAGAGTGGATAGTTATGTATACAACAGGAAGAGAGAAGTTTCATATTCAATCATCAATGTTATAAGCATTTTGCCTTATGATATTCAAGCTATGTTGAACAATTTTTTTAGTAAGAAGTGGCTTGGAGAGGTTTTTGTTTCTACTTCTTCCATGATTCATCATACTTATACTGTACTTTTTTTCTCTTCAATGGATTGCTTTCATAGCTAAAAGTCTAGAAGGACTTACATAACTGATGAGTTTATACTAATCAGTTCTTGTGCCTTTTGTTGTTTCTTTTACTATTGTGTCATATGTGATTTCCTTTGATTGTGATCCCAAATGATGACATTTGGTATCAAGACGGGGAGTCTGTTATGGGTGACAGAGTGTGACAGTGTGTGTGTGGGTTCCGGAAAGACCAGCACCCCAGACCTGAGAAGAAGATGGAGAAATTGCAAGGGAAGATGGGATAGTATGCATAATAAAAAGGTAAAGGTTCCCCTTGACATTTTTAGTCCAGTTGTGTCCGATTCTAGGGGGCAGTGCTCATCCCGTTTTCAAGCCATAGAACCAGCGCTTGTCCGAAGACAGTTTCTGTTGCCACATGGCCAGCGTGACTAGGGAACGGCATTTTACCTTCCCACCCAGGTGGTACCTATTTATCTACTCGCATTTGCATGCTTTCGAACTGCTAGGTTGGTGAGGAGCTGGCGCAAAGCGACGGGAGCTCACTCCGTCGCGTGGATTCGATCTTACAACTGCTTGTCTTCTGACCCTGCAGGACAGGCTTCTGTGGTTTAGCTCACAGTGCCACCATGCCTAATACAGAGCGGCAAAAGAAGATGCAAGTTGAAAACAGAGACAGTTTCATTATTAATAAGAGACTGCTACGTGGGCAAAGGTTTGGACTGTTACACTTGTTTTGCCCAGACAAGAGGGAAGTGAACTGGAGCAAGAAGTCCAAATATAACTAAAACTGGAGAAAGCAAGCTTAAGAAAGAGGAAGCAAGCTAGCTGAAGCCAAGTCTGTAGCAGATGGAACAAACTGTACATGTGAAAGGACGCATTTCTACATGGCAACAGATTATATCTGCCCAGGAAACCAGAGTCTGACCCCTGCTTGCCCACAAGGGAGTTCTATGCCTATAAGAAGGATGACACAGGAAGAGAGGGGTGGGCTTTGACTGCGCTGCAACGATTGCTCCCATCACCCTCTCTGAGGACTGATTCCCCCATCAGAGGAGGGCCTTCTGGATGAGTGAGTTGTTGTGGGTTTTTCAGGCTCTTTGGCCATGTTCTGAAGGTTGTTCTTCCTAACATTTCGCCATTCTCTGTGGCCGGCATCTTCAGAGGACAGCACTCTGTGCTCTGGTGCAGTTTGTTTGGGAGTTGAGTATTTATGGCTGTGAGATCAGCTTTTGTGCTTTTCAGATGATGGGTGATATGGTGATCAGTGTGCTTTTGTTGTGGGTGTATTGTTGTGATGAGAGATTATCTGTCACTGTGATTGATGGGTGTCGTTAGCTGGTCTTTTGTGTGTAGTGATCACCAGTCATTGTGGCTGGGTAGAGTTTGTTGACCTTTTGCACACTATATTTTTCACTGCTGGGAGCCAAGTTTTGTTGAGTTTCAAACTTTCTTCTTTTTTGTTGAAATTCTGCTGATGTTTGTGGATTTCAAGATTTAAAGATATTTCAGACACTCCTAGCAGTGTCCTTTTATTTGTGTAGCTTGCTTGTGCTATACAAAGGATTGTAAAGGAAGCAATGACTTTGTTAGCTCAGGATGCAGTAATTAAAATTAAATGCAACTGGTAACATTTAGTTCAGATTTCAGTCATTTATGATGCCTTTGTGCTGCTCCTTTTCTAAGAGTAGTGCCTATTATGGAGAGGTGTGCTTGATTGTTCCTCTCCTTAGACATTAAGAAATTTGTTCTCCATTGAGATGACATTGTATGTCACAGACTCCAGCAGCTCTCAGGAAATGGGGGAAAGAATGCTGAAAGCTTGATAGAAAAGAAAAGGAAAAATGGGGATGGCTGTTGGACAGATGATATGAAAGTTTTGAAAGGAGCCCAGTTCATCTCAGCCTGACAGCAGGGACGATATCTGAAGGAGATGCTCAATGGGAACATCAGGAGAGTGAACAAGCAGTGAGCACAGTCCATAAAGTCACAATGAATGGTAATGACAGGCAGTAAAATACCCTTTGGAAAAGGAGAAAGACTGTAGACTAGAGCATTGACTGGCAACACTGGAGAAGCATATCAGCAGATTAGCATATGGCATGGCAAGAAGACACAACAAAAAATTATTCAATCGTACCAAATGCTTGCAGGGAATCTAGGCCAAGCGAGCAATCAAAAACAATTTCAGAAAAGCCATAAGGTATATGCAAGCAATCAGTAAAGAAAATCAACAGACAATGAGTTGTCATATATTTTCATTCCTTTAGTCCAGTTCTGGAATTCTTTAATAGATCAACAGTAAGCATGTAAAACAGCCTGCTGCAAATGAGGATAGTACTGTAATCACAAGGAGGACAATATGATTTTCCTTAAGAAAAATGTTAATCTCATTTGACACATATTATGAAAATTCCTTGGTAGAATCACAGCAATAAAACATAATAAAGACCTCAGAAATATGTTTTGTGCCAGACACAAGGAAAAAATAGGATTAGACATGAAGTGGAAAGCTGGTGGTTCATGATGGTTTGTGGTTCATGGCTAACCACAAACCACCACAAAACACTGGAAAATGAATCAGTTCATGGTTTGTTTTTCTGGTTTGTGCCAGGGGGCAACCTACCTTCTCCTGCCGCCTCCAACTGTGGCTCCACTTCCTCTGCCCCCTGCCTGCCCCCTTCCCACTGTCCATCCCCTCCCTCCCCGGTCCTGCTGCTGCCACCACCACTTCTGCCACCACCACCACCCTCAGGGGCAGCAGGCCTGGCTTCCCTGCAAGGAGCAGGCTTGCTGCCTCTCAGCATGTACCTGCCTATCAGCTGGATGGCAGGCGCAGGTGCAGCAGCAGCAGCAGCAGCACCCCAGCTTGTTGGAGCTAGCTGCTCCCTGTGAGCATGTGCCCACCACCCAGCAGGGAAGCCAGAGCTGCTGCCTCTGAGGATGACGGCGGTGGTGGTGGAGGAGGAGGAGGAAGAAGAGATGATGCCGGTGCCAGCAAGGAGCAGGGAGGAAAGGGACAGGGACAGTGGGAATGAGCTGGCCAGTCATCCCCTTTTGCTGAAGAAAATGAAGTGCTGAGGGGGAGAAAGGTTGGCATTTCATTTTGCTTTGGCAAAATGGGATCCTTGAACTGGGTAACAAACTGAAGAGCGAACTGATCCAGTTCATTGGTTTTTGTAGTTCATGGTTTGATTCATGCCCATCTCGAAAGAGGATTTTCAGAAGAATATGGGAACCTAACTGAGTAAGTGGTTATCATATGATCTGTATCATTTGGGTCCAGGCTGTCTGAAGGACCATATTCTCCCATGTATCGTGAGTTCAGCCGAAGAAGATCTGGAATCTGAGGGGTTAATTACAGCTGAGGAAAATGCTGGGCAATTAGAAGCACAGACAGCTGAATCATCAATAGATTCTCCTCCCCCAGTAGAAAGAGTGAGGGCTAAGCTTTGGCAAAGACTCATGACACGAAAGTCAGAGGATCGCATGAATGCTTCCTACAGGAACATCAGGTCAACCAGTCCTGTGTTTTTAACAGGATGGAAGGCTTCTAGGAGTTTGATGACTGTTTTTGCTATATAATCTGCACCTAGAAGGCTTGGAAGCTTGTGGAAGCAACAAGTCAACACTCTGGCTCGCATCCATGCTCCTGCTTATCTTGGACCTTGTTCTTTAGACCCTTGGCTTTGGACTTTGACTTCTGACTATGGTTTGTGTTTTGGCTTTGGCATTTTGGTATCTGCTTTGCATCTTCTGGACTTCTGATGCTGGACTGGCTTATTGGAATTTGCCTGTTGAAACCCCCTGGGAATGTGACACTATGTGAGCCTGCCTGTGCTTTGACATATTCAGGGAATGCCTTTCTCTTGGCACGGTCAAACCCAGAAAGCATATTTGGCTGGAGTCCCTAGGCTGTGGAACTCTTTCCCAATGGGGACCAGGATGGCTCCCTTCCTGTTATTTTTTTGAGAGAGTTTTTAAAGTCAGGCACACTTTTGGTGGCCAGTATTTAGTCGTTTAGTCGTGTCTGACTCTTCATGACCCCATCAACCAGAGCATGCCAGCCCTCCTGTCTTCCACTGCCTCCCAGAGTTGGGTCAAATTCATGTTGGTAGCTTCGATGACACTGTCCAGCCATCTCGTCCTCTTGTTTTATTGAATAACACTGATTTAAGAGTCATATTTGATAGAGTGAGGAATAAATCCTCTGGTGGCAGTGAAAAGGGTTGAAAAGTAAATGTCATACCTGAAAGTGAACCTGGGTTGTGTGGAAGAACAAACAGGGGAACTGGGGGTGTGTGACACCTTCTATCACCTACATTTAATAGTATCACTTTAACTGTGCTAATTGCTGTGCTTTACACATTATTTGCAAATTATCTCATAATTTCTCAAGTTCTCATAAATAATAAGCTGAGCACCTGTTTGTCCATTAGAAATCTAGAATATTTGCTTCTTGGTCTGTGCCATCAGAATCACTCAAAGGCTGCTGTCTTTTTTCTACTTTTGTTTTCTAATAGAAAATTCAAACCACATTGTTCACAATTATTTGTATGCCTGTTTGAGTTTCTTTCCTCTTTTTTTCATATCGCATATAGAATTGTTCCCTTCTCTTTCCCCCTACCAGCTGCAGGGCAAATCTGTCTCCCTGTAGAGACTGGCAAAGCACTATTGAAAAATACTGCGAAGGAGCAGTATGTTATGTTAATGTTAATACATTATGGTTAGACCATTAAAGAAAATTTGATTCATTGATATTAAACCATTCAGAGACAACTGTGAAGTTAATTTGTTGCATTCTTTCATGCATCATTAACATATTAATGTTAATTTTTTAAAAATAATTAAAACCATTAAAAACTGAGAAAAATGACCCCAGTGCACCTCAGAAGTAACAAATTAAATTAAAATGAACCATTGATAATTACTCTAAAGTGTAATGATGTTGGGCCAGAATCCTATTGTGAAATACAGCACACATAAGGTTGTGTACAGCACACATATAGTTGCGAGCCATGTGGTTTGAATTTTCTATTAGAAATGAAAGGTAATAAAAAGGCAGTAACCTTGGAGTGTTATTAATGGCCCAGACCAAGGACCAAATACTATTGTGAAATACAGTGCACACAAGCAGCTTTGAATTTTGTTGACCACCTGTCTCGTAGCTGGGTTGTACAGTCAAGTGCAAAACCATTAGCACAACCTGGACACAAAAGAGCACAAAACAGACAGCAGGCAAAATTATGTACACAGTGCAATTTCCACTGTATGATCTGTGATACCAAGACGCTTCTGGCCTTGGTGTTTAATCACCAAAATAACAGCTAACATATTAATTAATTAATTAATTAAATGAATTTATAGCCCACCCATCTAGTCATACAGACTACTCTGGGCAGGTAACAACATATCATATAACAAATTACAGTTTAAAATCATAACAATATATTACAAAAAATATCATTTTTATTCGTTTTTATGCAAGCATAGCGCAATCAGAATAAATCTTGGTAGTGAATCACCACAAATTAAGATGACAGTGTAGCCATTTATTGCTGTGCACTGGATCATGTGACTCAGTGTGTGACTAGGTAGGTAGGTAGGTAGGTGGGTGGGTGGGTGGGTGGGTAGGGAGGCAGACAGGAAAATCTGACATGCCAGTTTCTCCACTCTTCTCATGGATAGTCCAAGCTAAGAATTTCTAGGAAATACAGCAGATACGAGGTTTGGATGAGGAAGGTGGCCATTCCAGCAGCATCCTGTTATGGAAGAGAGATGATAGGCAAGCAGGAATGGGGCAAGGAGGGACAAATAACCAGCATCCCACTACATCCTCCACCAGAGCACATCCATTAGGACAAGGAAGAGGAAATGTCCCATTTCTCTGCTATCCAAAAATATTGGCAGAGCCATATGGCTGGCATTATGGCATACTCGTCTGACATTCCTTCCTTTGCCACAGATTGCTGCTCTGCCCTAGATTCTGCACAGCACACACCCAAAATAGTAGAAATGCCCAGGATTCAGCCTGGATTTGTACATTTGTCTGAAAAGAGAGCACATGCTTAA